AAAAAATCAGATTGGGAATTGGCCAATGTCATAACAAGATTTGAAGGAGACACATTGCATGCGCGTGGCATAAAACCCAATTGTCAGATTCCTGATAGGAAGAATTTTATTTTTCTAGACAGGGTCAAACTCTGTAGTCCAGGCTGGCTTTGAGCTCACTACATAAGTCCAAGCTGGGTTAGACCTTGCACTGCTCCTGCCTAAATCGCCTGAGTGCTGGAATCATAGGAATGTGCCACCATGGCTGGCCAGAAAAAAATATTTTACCAGCTATGTGGGCATCGCTTAGCCCAGTCACATTGATACATAAAATTATCAATCACTGTATGCGTATATATATGTATCTGAATACTTTTCTTACCTTTGACTTCACATGAAAGCTAGTGATGAACACAGGTGTGCTTTGAGTGTATTGTCCCTTTAAACATTTTGTTTTCAGTCAGCCCTGGGAGCAGAGGCCTGTGATCCCAGCCCATGGGAGGCTGAGGCACGAGAATCACTGTAAGTCTGAGGACAGCCTGGACTACATATGGAGACCCTGTCTCAATAAACCAAACAAGAAAACAAAACAAAAAAAGTTTGTCTCAAAAAAGAGCCCCTTCCTGGAGAGATGAGAACGCTGGCACAGCCCCAGGTCGTGGGCAGGGGGCCTGCAGGAGTGACTCTGAGCCTCTGGAACACTTGAACACATATTACCTCATTTGGGGCCGGGGATTTAGCTCTGTGTTCCACTGCCCGCCTCGCAAGTGCCAGGACCTGAGTTTGATCCCCGGTACCCCCCAAAAAAAAACCCATATTACCTCATTTAATTCCCCCAACAGTCCTGTGAGTAAGTATAATTATTTGTCCCGTTTTATAGTGAGGAAACTGGCATAAAAAGAAGAAGCGTTCCAAAGAGGAGGGATAGAGATAGGCTTCATATGCAGGCAGTCTGAGGACCTTGATAGAGGGTGTGCGGAGAAAGGAAGTAGTGGCTCCGCTCTAGGAAACCATCACAGAGGAATGACCTCGAGCAAGGTTTTGAAGGATGAGTAGAAATTTGTTAAGCAGAAAGAATAAATATAGGCTGCCATAGTGGGTGTTTCAGAAAAGCATGTTCTTCTGGAGAGGACATCTCTGCCTTTCCTAAGCCCAGGTGCTTCCCTGGAATCAAAATAGCAGCAAAACATTACAAATAAGCAGCATTTATTGAGGCCTTACCCTATTCCTAGGTACTGGATTAAGTACTTCATACATATTATCTCACTAAGTATTCAAATCAGCCTGTGAATTAGGCACTACTCATTTGTGTTTTACAGATGAGGAGTCTGAGACTCAAAAAGGTTAGGTAACTTGGCCAAGGCTACACAGATCATCGCTGGCTGAGCCCAGTGTAAGCCTCACGTGAGACACCATGGGCACTGAGCACATGGTAGTTCATGCAGAACCCAAGGGCCTGATGTCAGGGCTGTGGGCTCAGTCGAAACACAGTGCCAGTCCTTTTCAAGCCTCATAATGCAGTCACCTGGAGGACTTATCAAAAACCAGACCGCTAGGCCCACTGGAAACAAAGGCTCTTACTATATGGGTCTGACGTGGTGCTGAGAAACTGAGAGCTTCCGAGTGGATGCTGAGGCCTTGGGTCCAGGGACCAGACATTGAGAACCTGACTCAGGCGTCGTGGTACAGGGCCGCCCCCCTGTGCAGAGCTGCATGGGGGAACACAGCTGAAGGACAAGGCTTCTTCCTTCTTGGTGTGTAGATCATCACCAGCCCACTGAGGAGCCTCCACCCCTCTCCTTTGTATTCCAGGTGCCTGTCTTTGCTCTAACTCTTGCATTGATTTTCTACATCATCTAAGCTCTTCGTGCTGTGCTGTGGATTTTAACTATTTTCCCTATGCTGGTGTTTTTGAAGAATTAGGCAGCCCCACACCCACATCCCACACCTCTGTTCTAAGCTCCCTTGAGTGACTCGGACTCCCACTGTCCAGGTGAGGGAGGTTTAGATAGATCACACGTTTCCTGGTGGTTCGCTGGGCTCTCCAGCAGACTCATTGGATTAAACGGCAGCTTGTTCCATGCATTAGTCAGGAGTCTTTGGGTTGCAAGTGACAAAACAATTTGAACTGGTCTGGAAAAGTCGGGCAATGAATTGGCTCACATAGCCTGATCGCAGCTGGGTTGCAGTTGTGACTAACCAGGGCTCCAAATGTGACTACCCAGGGATTCCCAGGCCACTGGGACTCTCTTCTTCACCCCTGCCTCTTTCCCACAGTAGGCCTCACCCTGCAGGCCAGTTTGGACTGCCTCCAATTCTTTGGCTCTCCATTTTCACCTCAGAAAAAGAATACAGAAACATTTCCTGGATTCTGGAAAAGGACGTATTCCACTCTGGGTAATTGTCCATCCTAGACCAGAGCCCTCAACCCTTCCAGATGTCTCTCGGTGTCCAGCCTGGAATGGGGTGGGGAGGGGTCTATGGAAATGTTCTCTCCCCCTCAACCCATAGTGCTGGAATGCGTGAAGGAGCATTTTCCAGAAAGCAGAGGAGATTGTGGCAGCGAAATAAGTGCTAGAGGCGAGAGGGTGAATGAATGGCTTAGATGCCCGGCTTTGCAGTGGCAGGTGCTGCACTGATACCTGGAGCGGACAGCGAGAGAAGGAAAGCCCCAGCCTTCTTGCTGCTCAGCCTAGGAAGCAGGCAGACACGCCGTAGATGGCAGTGGAGCTGACCCCACTGTCCTGTCCTGGAACAAAGTTGCCTACTCCCCCTGAACCTTGGTTTCCATTCTTGTCCTCTTGAGGTTAAGGTGACCTCTGAAAACTTGCTACACTGCTCACATTGTTTTGCGTAAAAGGTTCTTTCTCAAGGTGATTGGGTGCACCAAGCGAGAAAACATGTAAGTGCTGTGAAAAGTGCCGTGTGTCCAGCACAGTGGAGTACAGCTGCGAGCCCAGTTACTTAGGGTGGGGAGATGGCAAGTTTGAGGCCAGCCTGGGCTAAATAGTGAGTTCAGGGCCCGACTGAACTGTTTCAAGACTGTCTCAAAAAGAAAAAAATTCTTGAAGGAAAGAAGGGAAAGGGAGAAGGAAAAAAGGAAGGAAAGAGTGCTGCACTGTCATTTTGGAAACTGAGGCTTAGGAGGGCTAAGCAGCTCCCCTGAGGTCTCATAGAATACCAGGTGGGATTCAGCTTTGCTTTGTGTGCATGCGTTCAGACCTGTATGTGCTTGATTCCCAAAGGCTTTGACCTCTAACAAGCATAAGGCTTTTGCAAATGAATGCTGTGAGTGCCTAGGCCACCTGGGAAAACACAAGCTCATGGGTCTCACTGCAGACATATTGAAATGAAAGATCGTGGCCTGGGAACCTGCATTTTAATGGACTCCTCAGGTGCCACTGATAATATAAGCACAGGCTATCTGATTGCAGTGTATAGAGTCCACTGTTCTTCGTTATTTTCACCTCTATCATTTCAGTAGTGACATAGTACCTGTAGGCACCTCTATAACACCCAAGGTACTTTCCCAGACATGACTTCCTTTCATTGAGAGGAAGGACCTCACAGTGGTTAGAAATCTAGCTTTATCAGTAAGCTGCCTGAAGTCCATTTCCGAGTTAGATGCTTGCCTTATGATCTGTGCCTGTTTCCTTCTCTATAAAATGAGGATGGGCTTGTCTTCCCACCTGCTGAATTTGTTAGGAGTAAAGACTTCAGTGCACATGAAGGACCTAAAATAGTGCCAGTCATGGAGTGGGTGCCAATAAGTCTTTGTGTATTTGCAGATGAAGAAACTTAGGACAGACACAACCAAACTCGGGTTTCTCACTCCACGTCCAGACTTTCAGAAACTGAGTCTTTGCTGGTCTTTCATGGTCATTTCGAATTTAAAGAACCTTGTACCCTACCTCCAACAACAGGGTGTGGAGTGTTTCCTGGCGCCTGCAGGATGCGGTAGGAGGAGTCAGATGGAGCCACAACTAAACCACTCTCATGAGCTTGAAGAGTTGAGAGGGTACAGATATGGCAGAAGGAAGGCAGCTCTGTGTGATGGGAGCTGCCAGGGGCTGGGGCAGGGGTGGACTAGGCCTGGCTGAGTTGTTCATCGGATCCTCATCAGCCGCAGAGCTTTAATAAGAATATTCTGATTAGGCAAATACCTCCAAACAGGTTAATAAGTCATTAACACAAATATAGCCTAGCAAGCCTCTCCCTGCCGTCATTTTGAAGCAAGGACAAACAGAAAGAATGGGAGATTTTGTTTTGTTTGTTTGGTTGGCTGATTGGTTGATTTGGTTTGGTTCTCAACAGCTGAGAGTCCGCCCATTGGGGGAAGCTACATGAATATTAGATCGTGGTAGTCTTGCAGGGGAGGAGGAAAAATATGGAAAGCTGGCAAAGAATTGGAAACAGCCTCAACCAGTTCGAAAGCTCCCCTAATGTCCTTTAAGCATGCAGGGATGGGGGAGGAAATGGTCCATTTTGGGCAAGAGTGGGGACTCTTCTACAAAGTCCCCTCCTCTCAGGCTAAGGGGCTCACATTGAAGTGTGCAGACTCTAGCCTGGAAACCAGATTTATTTATTTGACCAGTTGTGTCACAGTGCTGGACATTTGGGGTCTGTTGATATGTAATATGCAACCCTGTTTCCCTCCTGCTCTCTCCCACTCTGCCTTTGCTTTCTGCGTGCCCTCTCTTTCCTCCCGCCCTCGCCGTTCGCTCTAACCCTTCGATCCCTTCTCACCTTTATCTTCTTCTCCTTCCCTCCCCGCTTCTCTCTTTCCCTTGTCTCCATCTGTCTGATCTTATTTCTGTTATCGCCGTACCCCACAAAGCGTTTCAGGCGGCTCGCGGGAGCGCACACTAACATTGTAGAATTTAGGTACAACGTGGCTGGGCTTGTAGCTCAGTGGCACCACCCCTGCCTGGCAAGTGCAAGGTCCCGGGTTGATTCCCAGCACCCCGCCCCCCCAAAAAAAAACTGTTGAAATTTAGATACAACATAAATACCAAGTGACTTAGAATGTGCTGCCAGGCTGCTTGCCTTTGTGTTTTGCCCTCAGTGCCATGATGGTCACAGTTGTGTCACTGCTATGAATCAGTGAGGTCCTTCGGACTGAACTG